CCAACCATAAAAAGTACCTGTATAATTTTGTATAACTGAGCTTTTCTGTGCATAATTTTGAGTGCTTATAGTTTTTTTTTTAAATAGCACAACTAATTGTGATCAAATCTGTAAATCTTTTATAGCCCTAATAGTGATATGTAAACAAGGAATACTATTAAAATGAGGACTCTTCCTCCAAAGAGAGAGACAACTGATATTAGGGGTCAGCAACATCTGGCCCACAGAACCACTGGATCCAGCCTGTGGAACCATGGAGCTTTGTCTGTGCCTGTACCAAGGCTGAGTAGCAAGGAGGTACCCTGGGACCAGGGAGCTGTAAGCTGTGCCTGAGCTGTTGTTGCTTCTTCCCCTAACTGCAGAGATTCCTTGCCTCATTTAATGCACAGGTTAGACCAGTGGTCTCCCAAAGTGGGGTGCGCGCGACAATCCACTGGGGTGCGGGAAGAAACTATTAGAACTTATATTTATATTTATTTTTTATCTAAAAAAAATAAGAAAGAAATTAAGCATTACTAGTATTTAATATATGGATTGACGCTGGCACCCTCACTCAGTCCATATGTCAGACGGTCACGTATCCTGAGGGAAGAGTAGGAGTTCCACAACACGGAGGGGCTGGCGCCCTCAGTGGTGCCCCCAATAAATATAAGTATATTGGGGGTGCATGCTCAAAATTTTTTTACTGATGGGGGGCACAATCAAAAAAGTTTGGAGACCACTGGGTTAGACAATAGCAGCCAATGAAGCAGTTGTTAAATGCTTTTTTAATTTATTCTTCACTGACTGGACCTTTACTTCTTGATGCATACTGATGTGCAGATTTGTTTACATTATGATAGCAGCAAATCAGGGTTTACTAAAAATAAGGCAGGTTCAGGGAACCCATGCTCCATCCAGTGTACAATCTAATCTACAAAAGGTCCAATCTGCAACATGAGGCCAGCCAGCAAGACCAGAATCAAAGTAGCTGTACTACCCTACCCTTGCTCTAATCATGGTATCAAAGTTTCAGCCTCCATCAGCTCAGAGTACAGATAGGCTTCTGATAACCACTTCCTTTTCTCTTGTCCTCTGAGGGCTTCTCACATATTCTCCTTTTCTGATAGCTGGTTGTTGCTCTTCAGTTCTGGCTGGACTTTATAAATGCTTGCTAAACCCCTGGAGTTGGGCTGGAAAAAGGATGGGAAGCTACCTGTGTTCCAGAAGACTCTTCAGAGTCTGTGCCAGCCCTTTCCAAAGGTGATCCAGACCACATTCCAGGAAGTTAAGAACTCACTGGAACGTAGGACTTGCACTAGTAAAGGATTTATTAGCTGGTTTTGCTACCTCAAGGTAGCAAACTGAAGTCTTCAGTTTAGAATATTAGGAACATGTCCAAGGAGACAGATACCAATTAGGTGGATTCACAGAAGAGCACTCCCATGACAGCACGTTTTTCTACAGTTTGGTGCCAGTGACTAGTACTGGTGGAACTAAGTCACACTGAAGGAACTTCAAACAATTTGCCCAGGTGAGCAGATGCTTGCAAGTCTTTCCTATGTTATCCACCTTTACCTGTAATGATTACATCCTTATAGTCCCTTTTTGGTACTTCAGTGGCCTTTTTCTGGCATTTCTTTCATTTCCCTAGGGCTAAGAATAATTTAACAGATTGCCTTACACAGTAACTTGCAATTCAACATGTTCTCCTTTAATTTATGTCTACAAATCATGCATCATTCTCCAGATGAGCATTTGTCTCATTTTAGATCAAGTTAGAACCATCTGTTTTTATTAACTGGGAATTTGCTGGCAGATTAAAGGGTCAGACATATTTACCTCATCTGATACAAGTTCTTCCAAGAGATCAAGTTTACTTTGAGCCAGCTGGTTTGAAACAAGAACAAAAGCCTATAAAACAAAGAACTATGTGAGCAAATATTCCATTAACTCCAGGTCAGCTTGTTTTTCAGTAATGAGCAATGCTTATAAAACAAGTGCACGTTAAGTGTTCTGTTACTAAGATTTCTTCTACACATTATTTTATGGTCTCCCAAATAAACCGTTAACGTGCTAAACTGGTAACAACGGGGGTTCTGTAAATAGCTTCTAATTTTTTTGTATGCTCAATTCCTTATGGCATTTTTATGCCTGTAGACTACAAACTCATGGAAAGGAAACAACAGAAGTGTTCATTTTGAATCTTTAACTTTATAAAACCGTTATAAAGAAACCAGAGGTGAGACTTAACTGGAATGTTCTTATCTAAGAATAAGAATTATCCTTCAAATTGTGAATATTTAGATCATCTATTAATAAAGACTCCTTTTCACGTTCCTGCTAGGTCAAGAAAGTGATACACATGTCCCTGCCCCTCCCCCCCCACCAAATAACTGATTTTATAGACCAAGTTCTGTCTGTATTAAGGGTGTGGGAATGTTGCTGGGAAGAAAGCAGGAAGAAACCGAACACACACACTCTCCCCACTTTCTTCCCAACAACATTCCCAAACCCATAACACACACAGAACTTGGTCTATAAAATCAGTTATTGTACCAAATAGTTTTTGCTACCCCAATATTTTGCCAATATGGCTTTATATAGTGATACTGTATTCACATGACTTATTTACGAAGCATCAACAATACAGCTGGGGCTTCACAACAGAAAGAAAACAACAACAGAGCTTACACACAAAAATATGTGTGCTCTGTTACATCTTGCATTCTCAGTAGGAGGTAATGCAAGAATCCAAAATGTGTGATTCTTAGAGGAATCTGAAGGCTAACAAAGCAGATCAGCATCCCAGGAGGAGAGACTGACTACCCACATCTGAAAAAAGGTGCATAGCAAGAGAAATATACACAAAATGGAAGATGAGGCTTGTACCAAACAAAGGGAACAAGAGTGAACTGTGCAGTTATATAGGGCCTTTTAGCCATCTGTTTTTTTTTACTTCTTTATAAAACGTTTTTTTTTGCTTTTGGTTGATGGCCTATACAAAAGCAAGGCAGCATTCAGACAACAGGGAAAATCCTACCTATATCCTATATTCTGGGCACGTGTCCTTCAAGTAGGGTGAATGACATTAATCAGTTCTCAAGATCACAGATTACTGTGCCTAGGAATGCCCCAGCAGGATGGCATATGGATGGAAAAAGGCATTTTAGATGCCATTAAAGAACTGAGCAGCAGCAATGATTCCCAGAGGATACAGAAGCTATGAATTAATTTAAATACTGAGAGAGAACTCAGATGAGTCTTCTCTCAAATAAATTATGCCCTCAAATGAGTTAAGCTACAGTGACAGTTCCATCTTTAAGAGGCCACCTCCATCTTGCCTGGGTTCAGCTTCTGCCAGCTGCTTTTCATCCATATGCTGATCTCAACGAGGCCCCATGGAGAGATTGGTCAATGACCACGAAAACATGGAAGTCATCTGCGGGCTTGCTGGATCTGAGTCTGCAGAGCCTCACAATATCATACGGCAGCTTTCTAAAGATGTTAAAACAGAACGAGGAAAGAGCCAAGTTCTGCAGAACTGCACAGACAAGTGCTCCGACAGCAGAGGGACATTTATCCAGCAGTGCTCTGGGCATGGCCTGAAAGGGAAGATCAAAGCTGCATGGGCATTTTCTAGTTTGGTTTGCTTGCTACATCTTCACCCTGGGAGACATCTACTGCAATCTGAGAAAAGAGTAGAAGAAACCTGGGTCAAGGAAACACATGGCCCTGCCTTTTCTTGAGGTGTAGGTGTTCTCCTTCCCCCAGGCAGACAAGGTCCTTTGGGGAAATGTGATACCTTTTATTACACCAACTAAACAGTTGGGAAAATTGTTCTTTGCAAGCTTTCGTGTACAAACACCCTTCCTCCAAAGAACCTCATGTGCCTATGAGATGAGGCAACCAACACATCTTTTGCCCAGGAGGCGTGCACAGGTTCTGTTCTTTGGAGCTCACAGATTCTCCTCTTTAGTCAGGCAGGGCTCGCCCAGGCCACCTAATGCACCCCCAGCTGCCCAGCTAAAGGGCTGCCTGAGCACAGCCCCCTGCCAATGTCGCCAGCAGCCGCTTGCCCCTCACGCAGCCCGGGGCAGCGCCAGCGCCAGCGCCAGCGCAGGGCTCTTCGGTGTGTGCGCGCGCACTCACCCGCTTGGAGCCGCGCACGAAGTCCTCGGGGTCGAAGTCGGGGTCGAAGGTGGCGCGGATTAAAGAGCTGAACCCCTCAAAGCACAGACTGCGCACCGGGCGCAAGACAGCCACCAACATCTTCATCATGATCTGCTCTCTTCTGCTAATGCTCCCGCTGCCGCCGCCGCTGCTGCTGCTGCTGCTGCTGCTGCTGCAGGAGCGCGCGTGGGGCCGCAAGCCGGCGCGGAGCGCGGACGGCAGCGCGGGGTGGAATAGGGCCTGGAGCGGCCAAAGGCCCCGCCACAGCGCTCGAGACAGCGCCATCTTACGGCGCCCTCAGCCGGATCCGGCTGGTGCCGCGGCCAAAGAAGCCCGGAGGGGCAGAGCTGGGGGCACGGGCTACGCTTTCCAGTTCCGCCGGCGGCCCGGAGACCTTCCTCCGCCCCGCCCCGCCGCTTCCGGCCCCGCGCGCTGACACCGTCATGGCGCAACCGGCAGGAGCCGTGTCTTGCCACACGGGTGTCACGCAGGATCGCTTCCTCGCGGACCTCTACCCACAGGTGAGATGAGACCCCCACCCCAGTAACAGCTACTGCCTTTGCAGTCCCCGCTCCCGTTTGAATCTTACCCGCACGTGTCGTGGGACTGGGCTGTATTCTGTCGAGTGGACAGTGCAGCTCGGACACGTACCGCGTGGGCATCACTCACTCACTACCAAGCAGAGCTTTGATAGCCTGGCTCGCTCGCAGCGTGCGTGGCCTGCAGCGTGGCCAGGTGTACGAGAGACGCCCTGTTTGTGCGCTTCTTCCCAGCCGTGCGCGATGGAGGCGCCGGCGGGAGCGGTAGCAGTGCTCCACACTACAGGGGTGCTCAATCGAGGCAGCTCGTTGTTCCAGCAGAGGCAAAGCCCAAGTCGCTGTGAGGGAAGATGACATAAGTTTTTGAACCATTAAGTTTTGTTTAATCGAGAGGATTCAGAACACCTTTGACTGATTTGCCCTGGAATATGAAAAAAAATTCCAAATAAAAAAGCCCCAAAGTAAGTCAGTCTTAACTGACTTTGGGGCTTTTTTTTTTTTTAAATGTCCTGGTTAAATCAGCCAAATTGGTTCCGAATCCTCTTGACTGAGCAAAAAAACTCAATTGTTCAAACACCATATGTGGCGTTACAACTGGCAAGTATCCTCCACCCTGACTTTTCAGTCTGGAGCTTCCAATACTCCCAAATCCATTGGCAGGCATCCTACATGCAGGCCTAAGCCCAAACACCAACAGATCCAAGAACAAGCTAGGGAAGAGTCCCACATTTCCACGCTGGCCACTGGGAAGCTAAATACAGGATTCATGGGGTGTCGTGTCCACAGTGCACTGGACAGGGGTGCACCGTCCACTACGCAGTGCCTTTCAGTCTGGGCAACAGAATAGTGCCGTGATTATACTGGATCTTAGCCCACAGGAGGCTGAGACTTTGGGGCTTGTTTCAGCACTTTCTTGTGACAGCTTGCCTCAGAATAAAGAAATGGCTTGACTTTGACTCAGTTCTCATTCACTGCTGACTTACAGTGAACAATATAAAGTACATAAGAGGGCTACTTATTTGCATACTCATTTGCCTGTTTTTTTAGCATACAATAGTTTTTCAGCAAATAAGATAATTTTGAGCTTCCAATACTACAATTTCATATTAAAGACCTGGCAACACTGGTGACTCGTACAGCATTGCCGTTCATGTAAATATGGCAGGCAGCAAGGTGCAGAGAGACATGGTTTGGCACTGATGCCAGGGGGAAGGCGCTGGGCCATGGGAAGCCAAGAGCAGCCAGAGAGCAGGGGGTCTCTGATGTGCCCCTCTCCTTGTGCCTTTTGTGGCAGCTCCCTGACTCGCCTGTCTCCATGAGCCCCTCTTCCACTCAGGAACCATTCTTTGACACAAGGCATTTGCTCCTGGAAGAGCCCCAGCCTGGATACCTGCTGCCCCGGTGGTTCCTGATGGGGGGAGCAGCTGGGCTCCGAAAAGATAAAAGAACTTGCAAACCCAGCACAAGCCCCCCAGGCATTTATGTGGCTGAGTGTGCAGGTGCCTCTGGAAACCACTTCAAAAACGTGCCTGTTTTGACCCTGTATGAGGAGCGTGTTATGCTGCATTGAGCATCACTGCTTGGGTGAGCCCTCCTTTTGGGTATGGAACCACTGGCCTGTTGCTGCTGGTTGGACAAAAGAAAAGCTTGCCTGTCTTTCTACATTGAGGCACAGCGATGTGATGAGAATAACAGGGGGGGAAGGAGGAGCTATCCTGGAACATTGCAGAGTAACGATACTGTGCTTGGATGATCTAGACTAGGAGTGTCAAAAAGTCAGTTTCAGTTTCCCTGAGGCCCCCAGTTTTGCTGTACCAGGCCAAGTGATGCCCTGGTGTTCTAGGGTCATAGGAGCTATACTAGATTTGGCCTGTGGAGCGTCTTCATCTGGTCCATCAAGCTACTGGAGGGTAATGGAAGTTAGGCCTTGTTGTCCCATTGGGCATGGCCATCGGCAGCCTTCCTGGCTTGCTGCTGATGGATTCTGTGCTCCTGCCACCGAGCACCACCCCCATCTCCTTCCAGACTTTGCACTGCACTGCTTCCACTGAACCAGGCGCCTACATTGCTGCCAGACCCCACAATCATCAGTGACCACTGTGGCAGTCCTTAAGCTCCGTGTTGGATCCACCCCGATCTGCCCAGGGTTCCAGGTGAGTTTGACACCCCAAATATAAAAGCAGCGTATATTGGACCCACATAGAAGAATTTTAGTAGATCTTCAAGAGAATATCAAAACTCTGTTCAACCTGAGTGATCCTGTATATCTGTTCTGTATATCTGAGATCTGTTTGTGCTTAATTTTTGCATATGTTTGCACGAAATGTTTTCGTGGTGATGAGATGGGATAACTATTGGTGAGGCACAAACCCAGCATGTAAAATTTATTTTTAAATATCTCGATGTAGCAGTGTACCTAGAAGCAGCACATCACTTGGCCTGGTGCAGCCAAACTGGAAAGACTCAGTGAAATTTAAACTGACGTGTTCTTGGACTTAGCTTCAAGAATTAGATCTGGAAATTGCTGGATTTCATGACCCTTTCAGTGATAATATGTTATAAATTTGTTTTTGTTCACTTCTCAGAGAAAGCCAGTAGTGCTGAAAGGAATAGACTTGGGTGCTTGCACAGCCAAATGGACAGTGGATTATCTGAGCCAAATAGCAGGAGCTAAAGAAGTAAAGATTCATGTTTCCACAGTGCCGCAGATGGACTTCCTCAGTAAGAACTTTGTGTATAGGTACCTGACTCCAAAACTTCCTCTGTTTCAAGGGGCATAGTGGTAACTTTTAGAAACATTGTACACCTTTTTAAAGTTTGTGTGTGTGTTGTTTGGGTTTGATGGAATTGCCATTCAGCTAAATAGTAGTGTCTTGCTGCATGTAAAATTGATAATAGTATTTATTGCATACATAACTATTCCTTGCAATGGATAGTCATATTAGAGCTTTGTTTCTGAGGGATGGCTTTGAATCTAGGTGCCATTGTCTGAAAGGATTTACTTACATTTCTGAATAGATAAATATATCTTAGTGTTAGAAGAAATATTTCATCTCTGTTTTGTCCTTCAGCTATAGCTTGCAATTCATAGGTGTTGGTTGTAACTTTTTCTGTAATTTCAGTCCCAGGTCATGATTTTAAAAATAATTCTGGTGTTCATAAAAGATGCTAGAATGACAGGCCCTGGAAACTCAAGCTCTCTATAATTCATAGCAGAACCATATGTCCTGCAGTTTCAGCAGCCAATGGTATTTTGGTAGTACAGAAAGACCAAAGGCCTGTTATATTAGCCACTTTACACTTTTATACCAAAGAGACCATCTCTCTGCTGAATAGACTTTACAGTCTACATGTAAGTCTAGGTAATGGGGTGAGAGGGAATAATCAGAGGGATAGCCCAAAAAAACAATGTGAACATAATGGTCAGGAGGAGAAATAGTGATCAGAATAAACCAGTTGCCTGCAGAGTTGTCTGTTATTTGTTTTTAAATGGACATCACAGTAGAGCAGTGATTCTCAACCAGGGTGCCAAGGCTGCTTTCAAGGATGCCATGGGGTACCATGCAATGCTAGCACTGTTAAGTATGCAGACATGCTTCACAAGATAAACCCAGAGATTTCAAACAGGAATCCATAGCATCACAACCATTCTGACCTGTTACAGTCTTTCTGAGTTTTTTGCAACAGAAAAATTGCTCTATTTTTAGAGGTGTAGAGATTTTTTGCGCTGATACCAAGGGCTGATTTTTAGCAAGCCATATTGGCCAGTACTGATCCAATTGCCAATATGTGGCCTGGCAGCATGAAGAGCAGCGTCTGGCTGGTAAGTCTGTTGTGGGGGAAGGGAAGGGGCATGGAGGGAGCAGATCAAGACCCCTGCAGTGAGGGAGGGAGTGGGGCTGGTGCTGGGGCTAGGACTGGGGTAGGGGAAGGCGCTGCACAGGCAGGGTGGGGTGGGGCTCAGGACGGAGCCATGGTTTGTCCGGGGGGTGTGGGGTTGCTCCTGCTGCTGCACATACCCTGGGAGGGTGTGGGGGCATGTGCCCTCCAGTTATGTGTGTGGGATGAGGGTAGGCTGCCGCTGCAGGCTGGGGCTGGGGGTGGTGCTGGGCTGTTCCCAGCAGGGGGGCAGTGTAATTCCCCCTGGGGCAGGGGGGATATGGCGAACTTTGTGGTAGCTGTTGCCCTCTTCACAGTGCTACTGCCTTCCATCCTGAGCTTAACCCTGGCCCAGTATCCTCTACCAGGAAGAGCTTGGCGTTACCCCCCGGCCACATCCCACAGGGTCAGCCCACTCTCATACCGTGCACAGATCTAGGGGGGTACATGACCTCATGCCTGTCTGGGGTGCGTGCAGCAGCAGGAGCCGCCCTCCCCCTGCAACCCCTTGGACAAGATGCTCACGGCTCCGTCCCACCCTGCCCCACCCCATCCCGGCTCTGCAGTGCCTGCCCCAGCGCCAGCCCCACTGCCTCCCTCGCCATGGGGGCCTTGGCCTGCCCCCCCCCCCCCCCCCCC